CCTGGGGATGTCCAGGTATATTAATGATGACAAGATTGTTTCTATCTAGGATTGGATGCAGTTGGTGCCCAAGTGTTCAGCCAGTGAAAGCTGCCTTGCTCCACAGCTTTCCACTTGGTTCCATCTGGGCATCTAATGACAAGGTTGAATCTAGGCACATTCCCCAAATTATGCACTTGATCCCATAGCAGGGCTACAAACCCATCCAAAATACGTTGTGCACCTATGACCCCAAGTCTGACAGATTCAACTCCATGTCAGTTGTTATAACATCTAAAAAATTAAACATGGTTGTTTCTTCTCTTTTCTTCATTTGCTAGTATGAATTCTGCCAAGGTTGTCACATCAATAAAATCTGTCAGGTCTTTATTTCTTCACACTAATGATGCTCTCAGGTTCCTGATCTGTTGAAAAGAGGGCAGAGGGTATGAATAATAACCTTTAAAAATTCTGCCTGGAGGTTATTGCATAGAAAAGGGAATGTTCACAATACAGTCTGCTTGGAAATAACATGATAATGCTTGAGCAGATAATTAAAATGAACAACTCCTCAATGCAAGGGATCATATTTCAGATGAATATGAGAATGGTACAGTACCTAATGAATAGATTATGAGAAAAGTATGCAGCATCAATGCTACCTCTTTGCAGCGTGAACATGTCTGCACAACTTGTACAAACACCCTCGGTGAACCCAGGAGGAAAAAAGAAGCAACCATATAAAGGAAATTAATAAGAAGCTGCTAATAGTCTGCTGGTGGCTTTTTTCCTAGCTTACCTCAGGACGGAATTTTAAACAGAGGTGGGAAAGCTGCCATTAGGGATGCTATAGCTCTGTTTTCTGTACTGAGAAGAGGGCTGGACCCGATGGCCTCTGTCCTATGGCCTCCTCCAGCTCGGTGATTCTATGCACCTGGTGAGAGGATGGGATAAAAAAGCTTTTAATAAATAAACAAATTTGAAGAACCAGCTCGAATGAGAATGGCTAAGCACCCTCCAGCTGCACACCCAGTTAAAAATCTCTCCGGCTGCACAGCATGTCATGGGGGGAAAAGTGGAACTGGGTGTGTATCTCATAACATAAAACTGTGCATTTGACTGGATAAAAATGGTCACAGCAGGGTGGATTTGATTTAAATCACTACGCAGTAAAATTGGATGTAAATTATGGGTTTCTACATAATTTACATGCAGGCCCACCTTACCTGTAGGTAGAGGAACTTCATTAAAATAGTCCCAAACTGGGCCTTTTTTATGGCCTGCTGCCTTTATAGGTTTTCTCCTCCAAGGAAAGAATAATATGATAAACCTCAGGCTATGCAGGAAAGGATCCAAAGACTTGTGGAATATTCTGTGCAAAACGCTTCACTTTCATGTTTACTGCTTGCCCCTCTTCCCTCGCACTTAACTTCTTGTGCAGATCTGTTCCACTCCCAACAATCTTATTATATTCATTGAATTTTTTGAAACTTAGCACTTAAGGGGTAAAGGGTTGATTCTGTGTTCATAGATTTGCAAAGGAACAATGGGATTAAGGTATTTTTCTCAACTCTGTATGTTTATTTTATTGCATTTTTGCTGTGAATTAGTGACACATGATCTTTGCAGACACAAATTCAGTTTTGAGAACTGTGAAACCAAGCATCTGTGGTATTCTCTTCTAGATAGAAAAAAATGCCCAATAATCTTAAAGAACCCTCTAGAAGAGCATGGCATTGTGCAAGAATTAATGGAATCAGTTTATCAAAAAATTAAACATTGCATGAATATACAGTTTCATGCAAGTGGCGTAGTGGTTAAGAGCACAGGACTAGGACTTGGGCGTCCTGGGTTCAAGTCCCTCCTCAGCCACAGAGCCAATTGAGTAACTTTGGGTCAGTCACATACCCTCAGCCGAGCCCACTTCACAGGGTTGGTTGTTTGATTGGCTGGTTGGTTGGTTATTTGAATGGACTTCCATGGGAGGTGGTTGAAGCCCCATTGGTGAGGGTGTTCAAGGATAGGCTGGACATGCACATGGTAGAGATGTCATGAGTGGAGCCGACTAGAGCCGGGGGTCAGGCTAGATGGCCTGGGAGTCCCCTTCTGACTCGCTCGTTTTCTTTGTTTCTGTAATTAAACACTAATCTTTATTTCATGATGAATAACCTTTGAACTATAAGGTATCTTAAATAGAAAACTAGAAAGATTTTTCTTCTATTTTTTAAATTTGGATTTAAAAAATCCAAATTAAATAATAAATCCATTTAAATACAATTTGATTTAAATAAAACAGAGTTTTAATTTTTAAAAAAAAAAATGATATTTTTCCACCTGATCCACGGGCCAGAAAAGCCCTATCACCTTCATGTATCTTTCATCCTCTTGCAGAGATAGTTTGAGAGACCTGGTTTTGCTTTCAGGTAGGGGCATGAATTGTGGTGCTGGCAGAGACTCCTGCGAGTCCCTTGGACCGCAAGGCAATCAAACCGGTCAGTCCTAGAGGAGATCAACCCTGACTGCTCTTTAGAGGGCCAGATACTGAAGATGAAGCTCAAATACTTTGGCCACCTAATGAGAAGGAAGGACTCCCTAGAGAAGAGCCCAATGCTGGGAACAATAGATGGCAAAAGAAGAAGGGGACGGCAGAGGATGAGGTGGCTGGATGGAGTCAATGAGGCAGTTGGTGTGAGCTTGAGTGGACTCCGGGGGATGGTGGAGGACAGGAGGGCCTGGAGGAATGCTGTCTATGGGGTCGCGATGGGTTGGACACGACTTCGTGACTAACAACAAGTAGAAGGTGTGGTGAGACTATGGGAAATGGGAGATGATGTTTCTTCCTGGTGGATCCTATCTTCAGAGGAAAAAGAATTTCTGATAGGGTGAATCCTAGTCAGAATGAACCTCCAGGTATGTTCAGGTTTGTTGAACTGCTTTGCAAGTGTCTTGGTCTCGTCAGCACATCTCCAAGACTAATAAAGAGATAAGGTAATTTGGACTTTTCTTCTCAGACCCAGAAACAGAGAACTTAACCAAATCTTGGCAGCTTTGTAACAATGTGGTTTCTCACATGGGGAAGAGTTTAGAGAGAAATCCCTTTCGGAGGAAGACAAATGTCGAAAGAGATCTATCTAGAGAAAGAGAGAAACAAGGGGGAAACGCAGGAAGGCGTCAAGCAAAGCAGTCAGTCTGACTTATCTGGGGCACAGTCCTGTGCAAGTTTAGACAGAAAAGTGCCCTGTGAGTTTATCAGGCTGGAAACATGTGCATGCCCAAGTGACTGAGACTTATTTACTGCAAGCTTCCCCAGTTCAGCCCACCCACCCCTTGCCATGGAACAAGAATACTGGCGTGGCATTTTCAAAGCTGTGTCATGCATTTTTACTACTTTAATGTGCTAGGCTCCTTGTGAGAATTTAGTTGCTCTTTTGTGTATTAATATCTCTGTGTGGAGTGGGAAGAAAGCTCAATAGAGCATGCAAATTGTATAGAAAAGTAATTTCCTTGATGCTGTCCAATACCTAACAAGCTGATTGTGATTCATCGTAGCCCGGGAGTGGATGACAAGGTTTTTGATGTTTTAAAACTCATGTTTCTGGCCTTCAAAATCAAGCAGCTAATGATAAAAATGTAACTGAAATACAAGCTATAAACTAGCAAGGAATAACACTGGCAAGGATTCAGCAGGATAGGTACCTTAGAACAAGCATCTTCTGGTGCACTAACTGTGCTGTTTGTTTATTTTCACATCTTACAGTGGAGGCATTGCTTTGCATTTCAGAAAGCAGTTCATTTTCTTGATTTTCTAAATTTAATTCCTATCCTATTTTCACACAATCCTTCCAAATGTATGTTTTTAGATAGTAGTGTGCAGAATTCAAGTGGAAATGGTGAATGGTTCAGGAAAAGAAAAAGTGTCTTAACAGGAACACAAAAGATTATTTCAGGAATATTTTTTAATGCATTTGGCTTAACCTTTCATTTGTTTTAGCTTTTCTGTCATTCAGCACTCTGGAACCTGCTTAAACATGGTACATTGTAGAAACACCATAATCAGAACACATAGATGATAACAAACAATGCAGTGTAATATGCTATGTGTATTATTTATTTATTTATAAAATTGGTATGCCATCCATTACTTCCATCTCTGGACGGCTTACAACAGTATTATCCCTTTGAAAAGTGTATCACGCTGATATTCCAAAACAAATTTGCAATGAAATGTAGGCATTTGCTAACAGTCCTGGCAACTGTATGTTAAAATGGCTTGGAAATACAGAAAACCAAACATGCACCGAGGCTGGGTTCGCACAACATGCTAAGCTCCCAGGAGAGTGGCTTAGCATGTCACCTGAGCACCAGATGCTTCCTGGAGGTGGTTTCTAAGCAATGGCTCACCCCTCGTAGCTTGGCATGTGCCCAGACCTGGACGACATGCTGAACTATGCTCAAGCCATAAGGTGCGATGCAGCCAAGTGTGCCCCCCACCCCCATTTCCTCCACCCACAGGAGGGCAATTGCAGCTGCACGTGCAGCTGGCCAGTGGGGGCACCTCCCTCACTGCTCCCGCTTCCCCATCCCACACAGAGCAAAGATGGAGATGAACGCTTTGGGCACTTTCAGCAGCTGTCTGCCCCACTCCCATCAATGCCCCACAGTGTCCCCTGCAGACTGAGGAGCAAACTACTCTCTGCCCTGCCCCACCGTCTCTTGGGCACAGCGGGGCTTTCACCAAGAGCCTCGCACGTCATCCCGGCCCGCCCAGTGACTGCCCCTTGACTGGATTGCTCCACAATGCAGGCTGATGTCCTGCATTGATGCCCCAATGTAGGTTGCTTCCCCTGCCCCAAATTGTCCACATGGTTAGATGACTTTGCATCCAGGGAACAGGAGGGCAGCAATGTGGGTGATGGTGATTCTGTGATGAGCAGAACCGCGGGGTGTCCAAAAGACGGCATAATTCAGATGTATTGTTTATGGCTTCTGTGAGACAATGCCTTCTCTTTTTTTAATTCCAGACTGGTTACTTCCATCTTCCTGATGGAGACTACTTAATTGAACCCGTGAAGAGCTATGGGTCAGAGGAAGGGGCTTACCCTCATGTGGTCTACAGAGCAAACATCTTTCACAAGGCCTTACGGAAACGACGGGATACCTGGGTGAAAACGGAACAGACCTGTGGAGTGAACGGTACACAGTGAAATGCTTTGAAAATGCTTTTGCTCAACAATCCAATCAAATTGAAGAGGACATGAACAAAGGGAAATGTTCCCCTTCACTTTCTCATGTTTCAATCAGGCACAGCCTAAGTAAAAAAAAAAATTAAAAATGTTCATAGCTTCTGTTAAAGAATTGCAGCAATTACAGTTGGCTAAGACACCTGAGCAGCTTTGAGAAGTCTTCAGCCAGCCCACTGAGCCACAGATCCCAGAGTGCGGTATTAAGCAGTTGTGGTAGCTGTTGAGATTTTATGTGGGTTGATAGCAGTGGGAGAAGCAGCAACTGAAAAAGTGGGAAGGGATGACGATGTTTTGCTATGACTGTCACTCATTTTGACAGTGCCATCTGTCCGCTCTTCCTCATAGCATTGGATGCTACTTGAAAACTCATCTCCCCCCATACCAACCTGCATTACAGTCTGAGATCACCACATTGGAATGTGCCTACTTGCCAGTAAATTAGGCTGGCAAGAATGAGAGGAAGGACCTTTTTGGTAGTGCCGCCTTGCTTGTAGACCTCAGTTCCCATCATTACAGACTTTCAAGTAAGCTCTAAAGACTCACCTGTTTGCCTTGGCCTGTAACTGAGTTAGGATTCTATTGATTTTGAATTTACACTTGTTTTTATTACGCTTATTGTTTTATTATGTTTTGTGGTTTTATATTTTGCATTGGGAAGGTTTAAACCAAAAGATTGCATATAAACTTTTGAACTTGCATCGGAATGAGCACTGCCCTGATCACCGCAGTCGGGCTTCCAGCTATGCTGATTCAGCATGCCTAACATCCCAAGAACTTTCCTCCAGGAATGCTCTAAGAAACATATACAGATCTGCATGCCAGGTTTTTTTTTAAGTACCATGCATGTGGAGGGCATATTATGGTTCTTGATGTTTAGAAAAGCTCTGAACAAAAACCACAAGTACACAGTAACCGCTGGATTTTGCTGTGCATGATGGGATGACCCAGTGGCCTCTGATCTCCTCTTGAGTGGGATCTTGTTGGCATTCCAAGAAGTTCAACTTGCACTTTCCAAGATAATTATTTAGTTTGTAGAGGACTAGCGTCAAACGATGTTGTTAGAATTTCTAAAGGAAACCTGTGTTATTTTTACTCCTAAAATTCCTATGCAGCTTAATCAGATTTGTTCACATTTGCACACGAGTTTCTGAATAAGAACATGATTCTCTGACAGTGCAATTCTATGAATTCCTGCTGTGTTTGCTGTTCCCCCTCCTTTTTCAGGGTATTCCTGAGGGTTTTCAATTACATCTTGAAAGTTGGGGAATCACTGTCATGTGTCTGTGTGTCATGTGTAAGCATCCAGCTCTAACGGGGTGTCTCCAGCCACCCCTCTCAGAATTTTGTTTCAATTTAAAATTCCAAAGTCTTTTAATAACCCCCCACCTTCTTAAAACATCTTTAAAGGTATAGTGTCTTGTAGAAATATTCACCATGCTGCCCTTTGAATTTTCCACATTTTGTTGTGTTGCGACCTGGAACTGAAATGGATTACATTGACATTGTTGCCACTTGATATACACAAGATACTCAAGACTGTGAAGGTGTGAGGAAAAGCAGGGTTGGCTTTGACCTACAACTAGTGTCTTGCAGCAAGACCAAAAAGTCCAGTTTTGGTTTCATCAGACAAGAGATCCTGTTTTCGGTGTGGTTACTGGGTCTTCCACATGCCCTTTTGGAAACTCCACATGGGCTTTGAGGTGAACTTGCTTCAGCAATTGCTTTCTTCTTGCCGCAAAGCCCAGCTTTATGGAACATCCATGGATAGTTGTCCCATGGATGTCTTTTCCCAACTCAGCCGAGCCATGTTGTTTCCATTTCATAATAAAGGCCTGAGCCGTGCCCCAGAGGATGTCTATTGTCCGGGATATTTCTGTAACCCAACCCTGACTGGTGCTTCTGCACAGCTTTATCCCAGATTTGTTTTGCTCACTCCTTATTCTTCATTATGCTATTTGTTTAGATATAGTCTCCAACAACCCCTGGGGCCTTGCAGAAACAGATGTATTTAATCTGAGATCATGTGGCACTGGAACTTCATAAAAGCGGACTCCGTTCAACTACTTACAGCAGTCTGGACATAGTGAGTTACACCAGAACTTACTTAGGCATGGTGCAGCCAAGAGTGTTTACTTTTGCATCTAACAAATGCAGGTGTGTTTTTGTTTACTTCGTGCTGTGCCGCATCAGAACATATTTCAATGCCCCTTTAATGCCCTGCACCTGAATACAATGCACCTTCACATTGTTGAGTAACTTATGTACCTCAAGGGGTAACAATGCCAGTTAAATCCATTTCAATCCCAGGTTTTAACACAACAAAATTTGGACAAGGCAAAGGGGGCCGAATGCTTCTTCAAAGCACTGTAAATCCTGCCTCATGTTTTCAAACTGAGATTGGAAGAACATAATGGGATGTTTCATCATATCATCTTGGAGCCTTGTTTCCAAGGACATCATCTGTGGAAAAAGAGGACTTCTGCCATGGACCTCACAGTTCATAGACAGCCGTCCTGCAGTGCTTCTCTCTCTTTTGATCCCCAACCCAGGCGTTCCTTCCACCCACTAGGGTGTCCTTGTGTATGTGCACACGCGCATGTTGTGCAAAGGGGAGCCCTCAATTGGATTGGCTGTTTGAGGATACTTGTCTCTCTGGTCTATGGCATCTATGTGAAGGGCTGCCCAGTTCAAGTCCAATTTAAAAATAAAGAACCCCAAGCAGGGAGAGAGGCAGGAACCTTAGAGGAGTCCCCCTGCACAGTTACCAGCTGGGTGGCAACCACAGTGGGCAGCTCAGCAAATTACTATATTCCCAGTGCCGTGAAATGTATTGCATATTGGTTTAAATTATAGTACTAACTTTTAATTTTGCATCCTTCTGTATAAATTAGCACATGAAATTTAATGCAAACTTGTGTCTTTCTTTGTCCCCATTTTTGGCAATTAGTAGAACCCTGCAATTCCCCATTTTCGGCTATGTATAACTGGCCACCCGATGATCAAGGCATCAGACTGTACACCTTCCATAGACTCTCCTTTTGTTCAGCTCTGGCCCTCTCCCTCCCGGGATGCTGTTCCAATCAGCAACACTCCACCACCTCTTCCAGTCTCCCTACAGGCAGGGCTGGGGAAGGAGAGAGTTCCTTGGGGCTCTTCCATCCACATAAGGAATGCAACTTTTTCAATACCTGCTGTCAAGGCAAGAGATTTGTGGCCTATGAAAAATAACAGCAGATTGATCAAGAAGGCAGAAGAGGTACTTTCTAAATTCCAGCTCAGTAACAATAATTGGGCAGACAGAGACCCTCTCTTCCTCCCATCTAAAAGACATCAACCTGTTTAATGAAAGGGACTTGCGGAATATGGGGCTTGACAGCGATCAAAAAAGGCTGAAAAGAAAGTGAAAACCCAGTAGAATAGCTGCAGACTTTCTCAGGAGTTGCTGTGGGGGACAGAAGAAATGCCATTATCCTGTCAGCCAGAAAGGGAGGGATTTTCTCCATTCTTACTAGACTAACTTGAAAGCACATTTTCTTGAAAATGGTAACAGCTAGACTGTTTTTGCTCCTCTCCCTACTAAGTATGCAATCAGACATAATTATAGGGCTCAAATTGGAGCATTAGGAAAATTTTGCATTGTGTTAATGATTTTAAAACTAAATGCACGAGTTTGCATATTTACTAAGGGTTGAACTAAGAGTGACATTGAATAAATGCATACTTTGTATGTCTCTCTTTAAAACATGAGCTAAAGGGTACAAGCTAGAACTATTTAGAATGACCTAATACTTTTCCCAATGCACCACAAATCACAGCTGAAGCTGTTGCTTGGTATCAAGAGTTAGCTCCCACCCATGGCAGGTGTTAGGTTGTGGAGAGATTTTTATCAGGTCTTCACCGCAGTGAAAAAAGGGTTAAACCTGTACACCCTCATCACAGTACTCATCCTGCTTGCCTCCCTCCCACCAGTGGATTCTCTTTTAAAAAATAGAACAAGTGCAAAGCATGCATATTAACATAATGGCTGGGTTTAGGCAGCACAGTGACCTACACTCAGAGATTGAGTATGGATTGCCACTGAACCGTGGGCGATTGTTGAAACATGGGTTATTGTGTGGTCTGAACCCAGCTGAGATAACAAACTAGCCCACACTGTACAATCCAGTAACAAACCATGGGTTCTACTCATGGGTTATTTGTTGTTAACAAACCATGCACAGCTGGGTTCAGATAATATTATAACCTATGCTTCAATAACTACTCACAGTTCAATTACAGCTCATTCTTAACCCTTAAATGTGAATTACTGTATTTTCTAAACCCAACCACTGTGTACTTCCCAAACTCTGTGCTATTTCATCTACAAAAACTGTTCTGAATATGCAGAATTTAATTTGTTATTGAACAAGCATTTTGCCTCTCCTAAGGTGCACAGGACAGATAATTTCTCATAATATATGTAATCGGCTGTATATGACGCAGATTGCTTTGGCTATGGGGTGGTACAGAAATGAAATAAATCATCTAATCTAAGCAACCTTTCCTAACCTGGTTCCCTCCAGACATGCTTGGATAGCACCTCCCATAATTCCCAGCCAGCATCTGGGAGGCAATCGGTAGGGGATATCTGATGAAAGAACACTCTCTAGTAGTCCACCAAATGACAATTTAGAAACATAAGAACCTCTGTTACAGAAGTGCTTTTTTGCTACTGCAGAATGTTTTGGATTCCATGAGTATCTTTTCAAGATGTTATGAAAACACAGAAAACACTGTTTGCCAGGAAACCGGGTCTTTTAAAGACACACAGAGAGATGTTAGAGCATATTTAAATTAGTGCCTACAAATGTGTGCTTGCTTGCTTGCTTGCTTGCTTGCTTGCTTGCTTGCTTGCTTGCTTGCTTTCTTTGTGTCTGCTGGGCCCAAGTTCCAAATCTTTTCAGTGCCTAG